CGCAATAACGAACTCTAACATATTTCCCCTTCAGCATGAATGGATTTTTCTTGGCATTCTGCCAGATACTGGTGAAACTGGTGCAAAAAAATGTATCTGTGTTTATGACGGGGCATGAAAGAACGTCATTTACATAGTGTGTTAGCTTGTGCCACAAACGGTGACAAGCTAAAGCCTGATGATCATTTCTAAACGAAAGACTATTCCGAAGGGAGATTTTCCTAATGACGTAATTATTTGTGCAAACGAGAACGGCTAGATGTGCGAAACAATCATGCATGAGTGGCTACAAAAAGTTTGGCAGTGTTGTTTGGGATCTTTTTTCCAACCAAAGGGGTTATTGATAATGGATTCCATGCGTGCTCATTTCTTTGAATTGGTGAAAACCAGATGTCAAAAATTGTCTACGACCGAAGCAATAATTTCTGGTGGTTTGACAAAAATCTTACAACCATTAGATTTGTCAGGTAATAAATCCTTCAAAGCTGAAGTCCTAAAGCGGTGGGAGTTTTGGATGAGTGAAGGATTGCATACGTAAACCAAAAGCGGTAAAATGCGTAGAGCATCTTTTGAAGAAATTGCAAAGTGGGCAGGAAGTGTGTGGAAATCGGTAGAAACATCATCAATAATAGCAGGGTTCAAAGAAGCTGAAATTATATCCTTAGATAAAGATACTGTAAACCAAGAGGATTAATGTGACGATCTGGAAGACTTAGATCAGGATTTACTAAATCTTTTTAATTCAGATAGTGGAGGTAGGTTGAGTTTTCGCATCTATATGGCCCACGACGATGTCACGCGCAATTTAATCTATTGCGGCATTTCTGTATAATTTTAATTTTTTTCCTGCCATTTTTCTCGAGTGCAGCGTTTACGCTGATGCGGCCTTTCTTCCGGAAATTACGGTAGATGTATTTCTAAGCATACCTGCAAAAATTTAGAGTTTTTTATTCAAAATTTCTAAAGATATACGTGAATTTATATATTGGCACATTTCTAAATTTGGCATATTTGTTGAAAGTGGTAATAACATCAAATGTGGTTTAGGCGCTTTGTTAAAATTATTTGAAAGTATGAATGAAGTAAGTATGAATGAAGTAATTTTTTTTCTGCTCATGCACAATGTGTAAAAAGGGAAAGGAAAATAGGTTGCCATATATTAAGAAGTCCATCAAGTGAATTATTCTTGGCACCAACTGGGGGGGGGCAAAAAATTCGGCAACATAAATTTCGCACCAAATTTTAATATTAAGGCATAATTTGAGTCATAAATTCAAAATATGGAAAAAAAATTGGCTTGTTATTTCAGAAAAAGTCCGATTTTGTGTCAAAACATTTATGTTAGAACAATGCTATATATAAATCTAATCTATATCCTAAGTTGCGCTTTCGAGACATGAAAAGCACAATTTGAATTTCGTCAATCGGCTCAGTAGAATGGGAGATATAGAACTGTCCTAATTTTTTTCGTAATGTAACTTTCCCGGTATATATAATAAATGACCATATATTACCAGAACTAGATTCACTTAGCATGTATGTTTTGATACCAAATTTTGCTTTTTTCAAGGGTATGTATTGGCACCAGGATAAATGTCCTGTGTAAAACATCATCATTTCATCTGTGGTAATATCTGTTCCTAGAGTAATTATTGTTTGATATCCTTTATTCAGATGCTCACACATAGGCCAAATTTTGTAGCATTTCAGATTAGGATGATTTTCTGCATAAGAATCATTATTCACAAAATACAAATACTTTTTTATTTCACAATCTCGATTATATCTCATAATCTTGTGGGAAAAAGGAATTTCTACTGATGTTTTCTTAGTCCAATACATGCTTTCTTCGGATTTGTTTATAATACCTTGTAAAACTGAAAGTGCAAAGAACAAATGCATTTCATGTGCCGATACAGGTTTCCTTTCTCTTCTACCTTTCAGTTCTCTTTTACCAACAATATTACTTGATTGCTTAGCATAAAGATTAGTCTGTTTTACAATTATATCCACTATTTCATCATTTATAAAATGCTTATAATATTGCAAAGCACCTGAACTGGTTTGAAATATTAACTTTAAGCAATAATTTGAAATGAAAACATGGAGGAACATATGCAATAATTTTGTTCCATTGGCATCCTGGTTAAAGTTATGCGGGATTGTCACTTGTCACTATCTTTAGAATCCGATACTTCAGAATCAAAAGCATCTGAAAAAAAAAGCTGCCTTCTGAATCACTTCCCATTTTTTCAAGACTTAAATCCTCTTGTTCACTTGAACTACTTAAATTACACACGAAAAAGCGATGAGCACTGAAACTGAATCCTTTCAAAACAGGTTCAAACAGAAAAAAATATTCTGAATCTACATACTACCGTTATATAATCAACTTACAAGTACTGTCCTGCCATCTGTGAGTCGTCTGTGTAAATAGAATTGATACAGGCACAGTAAAAATTGGTATTCTTTTGACTTTTTATTGCAAAAGCAGATCCCGTGTGAGATACGGCATGAAAAAATTTGTATTGGCTGCCCGTATGAAGGAGGGGCGTGACAAGAAAAAGGTTCATTTTTGTGTTCCTTTCTTGAAAGTCTTATCATGAGGATGCTTTGACAGTCCCTTAAAATAGTGGCCATTATATTTTTTATTGATTGCTTTACTTATGCTTTTCTTAGTGGTGGTGCTTTATCTGGTTTTTATCACTCTAGTGATTACATCTTCTTCATCTTCTTTAGAAGACTATAGTATAGGACTATTGTTTTCTTACCAGTTATGACTGACTAAGAAATTCTGATCTGCATTCTAAAGCTGCAACTACTGCTCATAGTAAACAATATTCTGATATTTTTGAATTGCTGAAGGAAGTCCAGGTTTTCAAGCACATTTGATCATAGTTAGTTTCCTTATGGTTGACCTTGTAATCATAAGAGTATCAAATCTTTTTTTTTTTTTTTTAAATCTCAGGCAATCCTGTACCTTTTTTTTTAGTGTGGTTGGGGGGCCTAACATTCATTGTTGACCCACTGGTTGGCAGCTAGTTGGTGGCTAGGTATATTTGGCACTTTCTTGTAAATCCTTATCTAGTAGTGGGAAAGGGATAACTGTAACTGAATATTATTGCTTTCATCTAGAGGCACTTCTAGGTATCCATCTTGCAGAGACTTTGCTCATATAGAATCCATTTCTTTATTTAGATTCTTTTATTAGCATTTACTTTTCATGCCATTACATTTTCAACAAAATTTAATTTTGTAGCTTTTATCAATGTAATATATTAAATATTTTAATTTAAAAGTAATAAAATAAAAGTTTTTGGTAAAATAAGAATTATGCTAAAAATTTCAATAATATCATTTAATCTTTTAATGTACTAATAAAATTTCAGGAAGAGGTATTTTTCCTGCCAGATTTTTTTATTCTTTATTTTAACTAAAAATGTAGCAGCTACATTCTGTTGTATTCATATCTGGGAAAAAAAATTCCAGGGCCTATTTACTCAGATGTGTGAAAATAATTTAGTTTGGTGTACCCAAGTTAGCTCGGTTAAGTGCATGAGGAGGTTAAGAAAAGACGACTCATTAAATTTGAAAGAAATGTTTCTTTATAGTGATATAATATGAGTGTTACCTTCAGATGCTTTAATTATTTTCAGTTAAAAATCACAAGACCTTTATTTTGTCCTGCCTTCAATTTAAATGGATTTTAATTTTTTGTTGCTGAAGATTGTGGTCTAAAAAGCTAAAAGTAAATTAAAAGCAGTAGAAAGGAAAATATACCAGTTTGTACCAAATTCATGATTTTGTACATGTGGTATAGGGTCTTGTAAATAATTTACGCTTTTTTATTATATAAATTATGCAAATTGTTTATTTGGTTATGTTTATCATAATACATGAGTTATCTATCTAAAAATTAGGGATGCTTTCATCTAGGGCATTGTAAAGGAAACTGATCTGTATTTACACATGGAAACCCAGCACCCTTGCAGCAGAGTCATTTACTGGGATTTAAATTTGGTTTGAACTTCTAATGTGCACCACCTTTGGCCATGGGTCACCATGGGCCAGCCATTTAGATGGGGAGCTTTTTTTGGGAGGGTGGGTGGGTGAGAATGCTTAATATACATTTTGAATAGCAACTTTAAATCATTCAATGGTACTCAAAATTATTTTGTTTTAGATAACTCCTCCTTTCCTAAATTCTACTCTGAACATGGAAGTTTATTGCTCTGCACATCGTTTATTCACTTGATCTTGTATCCTGATAATTGGTTTCTTACATTGATGCACTTACATAAAAATTATAATTTTTCATTATGAAAAAGTTGAAGAAAATATCTCTGCTTGAACTGTAAGGCATCTTAAAACAATTGATTCTAGAACTTTAAAAACTTCTACAAGGTGCTTTTAGATTTGTATTGTTGCAAAAACATGCGAGTTTTGAAGGTGCATGTATTTCAGTAATATATCCCTAATAACTCATGAGAAAAAAGCTTACATTATTTAGTCAAATCTAAACTGGTGATAAATGATAAAAGTCTGGAAAAGTGTGTGTGTGTGGGGGGGGAGCTTGCTGTATAAAAGGTTAAAAAGTACTGAAGAATCTTGGATCCATGTTTAGGTGTAAACTATCTGACTGACATTTCTCATGAAAAATTAAAATTCTTATTCACCCAAAACTGTTTTTTGTATGTCATTGTACTGAAAACATTTTTATCTTTTATGAGAAAGTTGCTTAAAGCATCATTCAAGTTACATACTAAATTTTGCTTTCCTGTGAATAATGCTTTATAAAGAAAATCCATGTTTCAAAACAAATACTTTTCATTTTTCTAAAGTGTTTCAGTGCATTAAAATCCATAATTAAATATATTTATTATATCTATGTATATTTTTTTTAAATTCTGATTTGTGTTGAAACTAAAAATTTTCATTTTTATCTGCTGTAATTTTTTTCATTAATTATTGCATTATAATAATAACTTTTATTATTATAGGGTAAAGAAATAATTGATTATTACATCAATGAACTTGCTTCTGAGGGCATCACACACATTCCACCTTTTCAAGACAAAGAGGGTGTTCCAGCTGTGGAAGTAAGTGAGCAAGAAGGGGCTTGTGGTGTTAATTCTTCCCGGAATAATAGCTTGACGCAGGCTCATTCATCTGTAACAACACCTATTTTGCAGGAAGGGCATCCAACAGGTTATTACTGATTGTTTCTTAGTTTTATTGTTGTGCAGTAATGTAGTATCTCTGACAGATAGTGTAGGTTAAATTTGGAATTACAATGCTTTGAAAATATCAAAGATTGAAGAAATATTTTAAAGAATTTATAACTCTTATCTACTCTTCAGCTGGCTAAGCTCTGTCTCACTGTGTGTGTGTGTGTATTTGTCATGTTTTAATGCGTAGATGAAGGAATCTGGTACTTTAATAGCTGGCCTCCGAAGAAACTTTATTGCATAGTTGGAAGGATGAATGCATAAACCAAAAATTTCCAGATATGGCCATTTCGAAACATAATTTTATTGCAGGATAGTTCACATCAGATCATCTTTCTGTAGACAAGATATTTTTCAATCTAGTTGAATACAATAATTTCCATGTTCACGAGTTTTAGAATATGATATTATGCCAGGCAAGCAAGCAACAGTGGGAATGAGGAGCGTCCTGCCAGTACGAAAGCATACGTGAAAAAGGACGATTCAGAGGAAGAAGGAAGGGAGTCAAAAAGTTTTAGTTCTGAGTTAAAAATTTTTGGTTTACAATTATTTGATTGGGCAAGATGTATCTGCATTAAGTGTTATGTAGGATCGCATAATTAATTTGAATGACAGAGTTTAGGCTTATAGCACTACTGGCAGTAGTGCTATAAGCAGCTTCTCTGCCAGCCTTCGTCTGGCTTATAAATGTACCAGAAAAATGACTGAAGGAAACACCAAACATTAAATTTAAAAACTGCATAGAATTTTAGTCTGCAGAATAACTTCATAAAAAAAGTTATTACGTATAACAAAATTACAATGAAATAAGCAATATCCCTTAATACAAATATTAATTATCCTAATAAATAAATTAACCAATTTCCCTTTGCAAAATCTTAAGAACTCAAATGGTATAAAGGAGGTTTAAAAACTTTGTTTCCTAAAAAAATCACTCAAAAACTTTTCAGTATCTTAAAACAGTGAAATGAGCAATAAATAACATAAAAGAATACAAAAAACAAAAAATTCTGAAAAGCAAAGTATAATTAATGATATTTTATCTTATATTTTCAAGAGAAAAAAATTACAATGAAATAAGCTATATCCCTAAAAACAGTGACATAAGAAATACGATGAAAATTGTTGCCAAACCCATATTTCTAAAAGAATGAAACTATTCAAAATGATGCAATTTCATCAAAAATATATCAACAACAATAAGACAGGAAAATTGTTGCCAAAATCACATTTTTAAAGATGTGATATGTGAGAAGTGTACTCGGAAGCTTCATTTAAAAATTTTTTTTAAAATACAAAATATTATCATTTTTCCAAAAATTTCTTTTGTAAAAGCAGTCGCAAGGATGAAAGTTTAACGTGTCCAAAAATCAAAGAAAAATAAACTGTATATTTTTAAAAATAAACCTTTTAGAAAAAATTCCATTGAAAAGGTGTTAAGCTCCCTTTGTTAAATAAATTCGTATTTAATCGATTTATTGAAACACGAAATTTATTTTAAGTTCATAAAATAGCTAAGTGCCAATGCTTCATGACGATGTGAAAATGGAGTGTGTAGGGTAAAATCCCACTTTCCTATAGCCCATTATATCTCAAAATGACGCGATGTCGTCACAAAACATAAAATAAAAAAAATTCGAATTCGAATTTCGAAAAAATCGCTCTGAGGTGCACTGGCGCTTGTCTAGATGCACCTATGTATATACCAAATTTCGTAGTCGTAGGTCTATTAGCTTACGTGCAGCGCGAACGAAAGACACACACACAGACAGATTCTTTCTTTTATTATATGTAGAGAAGAGAAGATTGTGTTTTGTAACCATCCGGAATTAAAGATTGCAACTGGTTTTTTACTTCCTTGTACGAAGTAAAAAGGAAGTATTGTAATCGCGAAAAGTTTCAGGCAGCATATTTCAACGAACTCGCATTATATCATGAGTCAATTTTAAGTGGTTTACCCAATAGATGGAAATGTTTGCATTAGAGAAAGCTGTAGGGTCTTGTAGTTTTGTGTAAAATAAGAAAATTAGAAATGTAACAGTAAAAACCATAATTTTAGTAATAATATTATAAAATTTATGATGTTAAAATATAAGTTATAATATTGAAAATTAGTTATGTTTTGAAAATTTTGAAATTTGTTGTGATTATTCAAAATAAGTAATGTGTGTGCCAAAAAACTAATATTGTATGCAAAGCCTTGCCTGGAAAAATCTAATTACGGGGACTCTAAAGCACAAAGACTGTTCAACTTAAAGTTTTAATAGAACTCTAATATATTATTTAAGTTTATATTTTGCTTAAAATTTCACAATTTGTATTTTTTCAAATTATTTCTATTCGTATGCTACTGCTTTAGCACTTTCTGTCTAAAATACCTTTTCTCTCACGAAACTATTTTCTTCTTGAAGGGGGGAATATGTAAAATATAAAGTATCTATCTTTCAATTGATAAATTAATAATAGCCCTTTAACTTCCATTTTCATTCTAAAAATAATAGCAATAAATTTTTCTAACTCCTGCAGTTCTGATGTGCACTTACCGATGAAATCTGAACCCCAAAATCTGGACATTAAATTGTCATATGATCTGAAATGGAATTCGCTATAAAAAGGTCAATTGCTTCACAACTCTCTCTTCTTTGCTCCTGACTTCTGCTTCTTTTCGGTGCCGCTAGCCATGCAGAATTTACTTTTCTAAATTTCATCCATTCGTTAAGAAATATAATGCGTATAAAACCTGGGGGGGGGAGAATAGTTCACCCTCAGTGATAATGTGCATTATCCAGAAGCTGTAAATGATAAAAATCACAATTTCAAAAATTTTGAAAGTATAAATTTTGAGCTTTCTGACATATTAATTTGAGCAGTCTTAAATGATTAAGTATTAGCAAATGACTTAATTCACTATCCTGATTTTGATAGCTGTATTAGTGACTGCAGCATATGAAATATTGCTGACCATATTTATATTACAGACTGTATTCTAACATTCAATATATATTTTCAGTCATTTATATCAATCATCATCAGCTGAACTGTGATATTTATTTAGATACATTCTAAATCAAATAGTATATGAAGCAGTGGTTTCTATATGGAAGTCAACATTTTCTTTCTTAAATAAACTTTTTAAACAAGAAGTTCAGTCTTCTTCAATATACTTTTAATAACTTAAGGTTCTTAGGCTTTTTAAAATTATTGTTTGATTACAAATATTTATTTAAATTTATTAGACATATCTAATAAAGTAAGTAAGTTAAATGCTGATTGAAGAAGTCAATTCAAAATGATAACAATAGTTTAAAATATAAAAAGTAAAATCAAATTTTCATAATGTATATATTGTAATCAAATACTGATGTGCAGGCATTTGATTCAAGCTCTGTTCGATTAAATAATGATAGACTGATGATTCAGTAAAATAATACATTAACATGTTTCCTTTCTAACTTAGTAGATAAGTCTGCCATTAAGAAGAGATCATGAAAATGGGAAGAAATGATAAAGATTCCAAAATAACAAAATGCTTCCTTTCCATGCTTAAATATATCCAAATTCATGAATATTCTTATTAAGCAGTTTATTACAATAAATTCTCAGATAGTCGAACTTAAACATTTGATCCAACTGATCAAAGTGATGAAAAATTATCAAAAAATAATTTTATTAAAATATATGTCTTAATACTGTCGACTCCTAGGATAAGAAACTCAGATTTGATATTAGGTTATAAGAAATTGAAATAAAATTTTATTAGGCACACTGTTAAAATATGTTGTGATTTTACATTTATAAAATATAAAAATAAAATTAAAAAAATTTATAGTTTAGGAATAAAGTGTAAATATTTTTTCTAAATTTTATGAATATATTCTTCATATCTGTTTTCAAGATATAATGTAAATAAAAATCAAGGTCTATTTATAGAGTTTTTTTTGGTACTTCCTTATTATAGTGGCCCCCGAGATGAAATCACTTATCAACTGATGTATCTTGCCATATGTTCTTATATCTCGCTGTATGTAACATCTTGATTGATTTAGCGATTAAATTTTGGGGGCCGCTATGATAAGGAAGTACCCATTATTATACCCCCTGAGTAAATCAGAAGAGGAAGTGTGTCATTCCTATTAATCTAATACAAAAGCAAAATTTTCAAATGTATGTATATATACGAAGGTTGGAACTTTAATAGTGGCAACTATTTATTTACAAGGAATACAAAAGTGATTCATGTCACCATGTTTTACAGTCCTTCAATAAAGTCGCCAGCATTGTGTACAACACATTTCCAACGATGTGGAAGTCGCAGAATACCTGTAGCAGCGCCTGTTTTGTTTATAGTTTGAATAGACCAGTCTACTGCCGCAAGAATCTCAGGAACAGTTTGGAAGCGAGTGCCACGAAGTGGTTCCTTCATCTTAGGAATTAAGTCATAGTCACAAGGGCTTAGATCTGGGGAGTATGGTGGATGGTAAAGCACTTCCCAGCCCCATCGCTTGAGTCACAGCTTCCGCTGCATGCGGCCGAGCATTGTCATGCAAAATGAGAGGAGCGTTCTGCAGAAAGTGTCGCCGTTTTTTCTCAAAGCTGGTCATAGATGCTCCAAAAATGAGCAGTAAAACTGCGCAGTGACGGTCTGCTGTGGGGGAACAGTATGCGCTAGGATGACACCATCACAGTCGTACACAAGAATCACCATAACTTTCACATTGCTGGGGTTCTGACGAAATTTTGAACGTTGTGGTGACCCGTGATAATGCCATTCGTTTGATTGGCGTTTCAGTTCTGGCTGGTACGATCAGGCCCAAGTCTCATCCAGCGTAATGGTACGGCGTAAAAAAGCATCTCTTCGTGCTCATAGCACTCCAAGTGGGTTCGGGCAGCATCGTATCGTAGCCATTTCTGCATTTCCATTAATTGATGTGGAACCCATTGTGAAGCAATTTTTCTCATGGACAGGTGTTCCTTCAGAATGTGCAGCACAGTCGTATGCGCTAATCCTGTTTGTGTGACCAGCTGACGAATCGTTTGGCGGCGATCACTGTCCATTAGTGCGGCAACAGCTTGCACATCTGCATCGCTGACACTTGGACGACCTGGCCACAGCATGTCTGCCACGTTTTGGCGTCCTTCATTGAATGCTTTCACCCAACTTACTACTGTTCCGTAAGGCAATGCAGATTTCCCGCAAGCCTCTTGAAGCCCTTGATGACACTGTCGTGCTGTACGACCTCTGGCATATTCAATTTTTATCCAACATTGTTGTTCTTGTTTTGAAAACACCCTGACAACACTTACTTTAGACCCCGAGCTAATACAAGGATTCGTTTCGCGTCAACCGCATGCGCGTGACCGTAGGCAGGGAGTCTTTTTTGCTGAAGGTAAGGTAGGTATGTAGTTTACGTGTGGTATACGCGATATTCATTGGTTTTGTTGCGTAGCATTTTTTCAGCTGTGTTGCCACTATTAAAGTTCCAACCCTCGTATATATATATATATATACATATGTTTGGGTTAAAAAAGAAATGATTTTTTAAATTTATTATCCTAACTGAGGAAAAAAGCCTTATTTATGGCGTCATTATAGTAAAAGTGACAATATTTGTAGCTAAAGTTCAAAACCAAAATTTTGTAAAAGAAAATGAAAATATTCAAACGTTGGTGTAAACATTTAAATCACAGAATGAACTAAAAAGTAAAATAATCATGCATCAAAATATGAAGGAAAATTTATTACAAAATTAAAACTGAATTGGGCAAATTGACAATAGACCTTTGAATTTCTGATTTAAATATAAGTGCAATACCCCTTCACTTCCACACTTTGTCCTTTCAGTATCCACATTGCTGTAAAATTTTGCCCATTTGCTATTCAGAACTAATATAAAGAATTTCCAAGCTTATAAATAGTACTGCAACTAACTATGCCTTCTCATTTGCTGCTTACGCTTGCTAGCTAAAGGGCATTGCTTACTTGGCTGCTTCTGATCATTGTTAAAAATGTGATGTGTCATAATCAAAACTGTGTAGTGCAGATTGTCCCTTGGTGTGTCATGCCTAAGAGTAATCAACAAATAATAAACACATGTTTGGATGATCAGGTGATTTTTATAGATCTGTGCCTATTCTACTTTATAATTGATTAATCAATATTTTAGTGATCTAACTTCAATACACCCTCGACTGCAGAATAATTGGTATCTGCCCTAGTTCGGCACTTGTCTAATATCAAATTATCTGCAACGAATAAAATTTTCATCTCTTATCTCTCTCTCTCACACACATATATATAATGTCTTTTTCCTTCCTCAATACACACAACCTTTAATAAAGTTACTATGTATATATATATAATGTATATACAGTGGTACCTTGACATACGAGTTTAATTCGTTCCACAGTCTTGCTCGTATGTCAAATTGCTCGTATCTCAAAGCAATTTACCCCATTGAAATTAATTAATCGAAATCCCATTAATCCGTTCCAGATCCCAAAACACGACCTCAGTTGTTTGTTAAGTGTTTTTAAGTAAGAAAAAAACAAGAAGAAACATTTATTTATAAATAACAAATACATATTCTATAAAAACATAATTAAAAGAAAAAGTGAAGTGCCTACGGAAGAGCTTAATTTTTGTCACTGGTCTTCGCTTTTTTCGTCATGATCTGCTTATTTTCCACCCGCAGATCATTTAAAAAAACTTTCCAAGGAAGTTTGTTTCTTCCTCCTTTTCAGGATATTGTGGAAATGAGTTAGGCAAGTTTTGTTGAACAACTCCGATGCACAACTAGTTGCAACTTTTTCGCGGTGATTTTTATCCACGAACTCTACAATTTTTCTCCCACATTCCCAAGACCTGTTTTATATCTCTTGTAGCGATAACCTCCTCCACCTCTGGCTCCTCTTCAAAACTAATTTTTCGTTAACAACGTATGCTGCTGCAAATACAGATCGTGTAACTCCTCGGTTGTCAGCTCCTGAAGACTGTTGTTCGACGAGTTCGTTCACATCTCTCCCATCCACCTCCAGACCTCATGGATTTTCCCAGAGAAACAAGCTCCTCTACCTACTGACGACTTTGGGTTCCAATCCTTCAAAGGCCCTTTCAGCTGCAGCCTCAGACCACAGCTTCTTCCATGCAGGGGTTAAGGTCCTTGTTGTAATACCCAGCCAGGCCTGATCAATAATTCTAAGCATTTTAAAGGGAACCTTTCGGAATGTTAAAGTTGTCCTTTCCAGAACTCTCGAAGGGTAAAGTTTGTGTTCTCCATTACCTCAAAGCAGCACCGGAAAATGTGCTTGGTGCACAACTTGAAACTGTTAGACACTGCACACAACACCAACATGTGTGCACATGTTGTGGTCATGTGCAGCAGAGTAGTGTGCAATTCCTCGTACCTCAAATCTTGCTCTCATCTCAAAGGAAAATATCGCTCGCTCGGCGGCTTGTATCTCAAAACACTCGTATATTAGGGCACTCGCATATCAAGGTACCACTGTAATGGCTATAATAATAAATGCTAATTTTGTAAGTTTCTTTTGCAATAATTGTAATTGTAGTTTTGAGGTTAAAAATTCATAATTATGTAGCTCTAACATTCTGGCAAAAGCTGTATCATTTGAGCAAAAATTTAAACCTATTAAAGTTGTTGGGAGCATCAATTTCTCTGCTAGTTTTAGTTATAAAAAAATTTGATATTTTTCTGTTAATAGGTTGCCATTTGCCAAATATGTGTCAAAGTGCTAAATGTGGTAGCCTACTTATATTGCTTCATAAACAGCTGCGCAAAGATAACATAGTTCATGTGTCAGTGTCGAAACTATGCTCAATATTAAATTTGTGCAATTCTCTGATGTTCTTTTAAGCAAAAATAAATTGCTATATACATAGGGAGAACAGGAGTTTTGTTTTTACCATGTACATAGCAATCAGTTTTTCATTAAAAACAAATAAGATAATTGTATAAGTTCAGCATCGTGCACAACCCAAGTGCTGCACGTTAAACATATCTGTCATATTCTTTACGTATGAAGCTTTATCTATCGTTAAGGTTGCCACCATCTAGTTGACCCTAAGCAGTAGCTGGTTGAGAGAAAAATTTGAGTTATAAAAACAAATTTGAACTTCATTTTATAATAATTTATATTGAGAATTAACTATATTTGTTAAGAATTAGCATTTTGTACATTTGATTGTTTTTGATAATCTAGCTAAAGGTTCATATTTTCTTGTTGCTAAATATATTACCATGAATTGATATGCATATATGTTGTGATGTTGTAGGAGAGATATGATTGCTGTTGTGAAGGAGCTGTGTGTTTCATAATCACATTTTTATTTTTTCATGTTACTGAAAAATATCACTTAATTAATCAATATTAATATTTTTTTAGATGCTAATTTTAAAATTGAATCTGAATACATAAAAAGATGTCTTGGAGAGCTAACACCATTTCAAGAATCATGTCTTGTGCAGTTAAAGAAATGGATGGCAGAAGCTCATCAAGGGAAAGTTAGTTTATTGATTTCTGTCTTCATTCTTCAAAACTATAATGAAAAATCTTTACTCTGCTGTATTTACTAATATTTACGAATGAAAGAAAACTGTCAAAACGATAGCTTTGATTTCCTGAAATTTTTGCAGTCTAGAGCTTACATTTATAATTCAATGCATCTGTATTGAAATTGTAATGGGAGGGTGAAGAAGAAGGACTGGGAGTGGATGTTATGCATATTATTAACCATAGAAATTTAAAAAAAATAAATAAATAAATAAATAAATTAAAAGTTAAATAAAGAAAACTATGAGAAAAAGTTATGCTTTATTTAATCGAAGACTATAACAAAACATAGGCAGTATAAACTGAGGTGGCAAGAGTCGTGGGATATCCGCTAATATTGTGTCGGATTCATTTTGCCTGGCAAAGGGCACCAACTCAATGTGACATGGACTCGGCAAGTCGTTGGAAGTCTCTTGCAAATATATCGAGCCATATTGCTTCTTATAGACATCTGTAATTGCGAAAGTGTCGTGAGTCAGGATTTTGTGCATGAACTGATCTCTTGGTTATGTCCCATAAATGTTCGATAGGATTCATGTTGAGCAATCTAGATGGCCAAATCATTTGCTGGAACTGCCCAGAATGTTCTTCAAACCAATTGCCAACTGTTGTGATCGGGTGACATGGTCACGAGCCCATGAGAAACGCTGCAGGCGATGTTGTTCTGTTAGTAAAGGCACTGAACTCAGTCTTCCTGAGACAATAAACTCAGTGAGAACTCTGCTGCCATAGCCCATTAAAGCTAAATTTTGCTGCACTGTCCTACTAGACATGCCTGTCATACATTCCAATTGATTTCTGTGGTTATTTTCATGCACTGTTGCTTGTCCTTTAACACACAATTCTGCACATGTATTACCGGTCTCAGTCATTAAGAGCAGGCGATCGACCACTGCGTTGTCCATACGTTGAACTCCCTAATGATCTCCGAAATGGAATGTCCCGTCCGTCTAGCAGCAACTACCATTCCACATTCAAAGTCTATTAATTCCCATTGCGTGGCCGTAATTATGTCAAAGAATTTTTCGCCTGAATAACTTAAATACAAATGAAAGCCCTGCCCATTTGTACATTTTATATGCAATGCTACTGCCATATATATCTTTGCATATTTATATCCAATTCCTTTTGTCACCTCAGTGTAACTGCTAGCCTAAACATTAAAGAATTATCACAGTTATCTTAAAATTTTTTATTAAATACAATTTTATATCGGTATTTATAACAGACTGAGAAATATTGCATTAAAATTATACATTGCATAAAGAAAACTATGAGAAAAAGTTATGCTCAATAAATTATGAATTAAGCTATTCAGGTTTTTTTCCTTTGAATGTCTTGGCTTTATACTTATTTGAAGAAATTCCATCACAAGATTTTGTGTGGGATGTACTGCATTATTTAAAATTTGCAGTATTATACTAAAATACAGTGAAAATGAAAAATAACCAAGAACTGTGCAATATATTTTTGTCTTGCTTAATTTATAAGTCTAATGTGGTTATGGTCAGTATTATGTTGATACTAAGTAGGTACTCTCAATACCTGAGCTTACTGCAGTACTTACAACAATAGAAGGCTGCAAATTTATTGCAATAAAGTGAAAATTTCTTGCACTTGGCACAGTTCTTGGTTATTTTTCATTTTCACTGTATTTTAGTATAATACAGTGAAAATAAAAAATAACCAAGAACAATAATTTTATATTTATATAATAATTGAATAATAATTTTATATTTAGTTACATGTAAATGGCATCATCTGAAGTTTCTGAATCTTTTTTTGGTTGAAAATATTTTGTGTGCTAAATATTTAAAATTTTTATAGCAGATTTTAAGTTATTTTATGATAACAAATGGTAAAATGTAAAAGATGTCGTTATATTTTTAGTGTGATTTTTGTAAAAATGAAGGGAAAAAAAAAAAAATTGCTGTGGAGTAAAAATGCCTAGAAACAGCGTATAATTTGAAATGATAAACTATCTGCTACCTTAAACTTATTTTACCAAAATGTGGCTAACTGTAGATTGAAGGATCTGTTTTTATTATTTTTGTTGAGAGATATTCTTATTTCACAATTCAAAATCTCTATAAAGTACTTTTTTATTGAAATTTCTAAGTACAAAATAAATGTGTTATTAATCTGCGTAGGAAAAACTAATAATCATACCCTTTATATGAAAATGCATAGAAAGGTGCATCCTGTTTAAAATGAAACCTGTAGTAATATAAAAAAAAATCTACTAATGTAAAAAACCAGTTGTGGAGTCTCTGTACAATTGTAGCAACAGTAAGCAAAATAATAGATAAAGATTTACACCTTAAAAAAAGGCAAAAAAATACGAGTATTGTAGAATCCTGTATGAAAAGAGTAATAGAAATACATTATAACCCCTAATGAAGCATTATTTATCTAAATGATTGCAACACCCCCCACATGCTAACTAATTAACTACCTACCTGCTTACCTAACTACCTAATTTAACTAAACTAAATTAAAACTAAGTTAAACTTAGGACTTACCTAGTTAGTTTTAGATCGTAGTTAGTAATTAGTTAGCTGGCTAATTGACTTACTTAATTAACTTTTTACTTAATTGATGTACTTATAAATTGTGACTTGACTGACTGACGACATTTTAGTAACTTACTTAACATAATTGATGTTCTTGTAAAATTGATTTTCCTGTTCATAAAATAATTGGAACTACTCTGATATGCGCCCTCAAGTCGCCAAACATTTTTGGCGAGAAACTCCATGCTGCCATATTACTGTCTAAAATTTTGTCTACATTTCAAACTATAAGCCTAAAATGTCTTCAAAAACGCGGTTTTCGCACGTGCAGAAAGTACATTTTGAACACACAATTTAAGCTAAAAATCCAAAACAAAAACAAAACATTTAGATAGCAAAAACGTAAAGTTTCTAACCAAAAATATTTGACAAGAATACATGTACACGGCGATATGTTTTAACTTAAAAAAACATCTACGAATGGCAGAATCTATGAACTACGCACACCTTGCTTTAATAAATTAACATAACAACAATAAATTTCAAAGAATACCATGTACATCCTGTTTAAACATAAAAAAAAATCTATAAATTGCACAATTTAGGCCACGAACAAATCTACGAACTACGCACACCTTGCTTTAATAAATTAACCTAACAACAATAAATTTCAAAGAATACCATGTACACAGCGTTTTGTTTCAACTTAAAAAAACGTCTACTAATTCCACAATTTAAGCACTATGCACTAATCAGCAAAATAAACTAAAATAACTAAAATAAATTTCAAACAATTAAAAAACAACAACAATAACTAAAGAAATTCATACTAAAATAATTAACATAACATTCTACAAAATAAGAACAAGAATTAAGTAAAATGCACTTACCATGAATTAATGCTTTTTCGAGCAGCAGAAATACCAATTTCATACCGCCACATAATCACTATCGTATTTATATAACAGCCATACACACTATCCAGAAAATTCATACTATGGTTTACAAATAATCACAAATCCCTACTTCTATCATGCACAGCCACTAAAAATAATCTCCCAGACCCTCTTTCCACATCTCCAAATACCCACTGCCCCTCACCAGGATGGCCACTATGATATTTCCTTTTGCCGAACTTCAATTCAACAACTTCCACCATTTTATCTTTCCCCCCTATTTTCTCAGACATAGACAGGAACGAACGAGCATGACGCGAACCAATGAACTCCAGTGAAAGATTTTTCAACGTCAACAGTGTTACCATATAACACGCAATCGTGCCAAAAACCAGCACAGAACACATATCGCCACATTTGGTGAAATTAGGGCGTATATCAGAGTTGTACCAAATAATTTTTATTGAATTGTTTTAAAGTGTGTTCAAAAATTTTTTTTCTAAATGTTTTAAAACAAATGCACTTAAAATTATATATTGATATGTGGTTGCTGACTACAGAGAATGTTTACACATTTTTAGAACAATTTTGAAGCCATTAAATCAATGTTTAACATGTAAAGAGAATTTTTTTTTAAATGTTTGGTCTGATAACTTTTTTGTGGACTAAAGTCTGCATTGTAGTTTCCATGACAGAAGGGCTTTTCATAAAATTTCTAGGAGTATTGATTTCCATTCCTCTTTCACTACATTTCTAGAGCCCATCAATCATGATGGGTTTACACTTAAAAAGAGCTATTTACAAGAGACCAAAGTCACAAAAGTCATTAGGTGGAACATCAGAGGAATTTGCATGAATTCTTTGAAAAGGTATAATGCAGTACCTGTTTTAGTCATCATTTTTTTTTAAAGAATGCTGTGGTACTTTTTGATATATGACTGGTTTGTTCTTGATGAAGTTTCACTCTTTAAAAGAAAATAATATGAAGAATAAATAATATGAATATATACTTAAGAAATAATATGAATATATATACTTAATATGAAGTTTCACTTTTTTCACTCATTGGGATAAAGAAATGGAATTTCTTCTGTAAATATCAGACTTAAAATTTCTCTTGATAGTACACTGAGATGATTTTAACATCCCTCCCCACTCTTCTTATTTTTAATTTCCCATTGTAAGAGAAGCATGTAACAATCATAAATTACCTTCTGAAACTTTCTTTGCATTGATGGAACCAGGTTTGTATATTTTTTACTTTTCATTTTCAATAATAAAAATAATAATAATTTTTTTTTTTTTTGTTGCAATCATTTTGGGAAATCCATGCTTTATCAAGAGTCACAGTATGTTTCTATTTATTTCCCTGCTAAACATTTTTCAAACAGGTTTCTACAAATTGCTCTGCTTTGAATCCCATGCCTCGGCAAAATCTAGCAAAAATTATGTTTCACTTTTTTAAATTGTAAACCTTCATGTATTATTTTATTTATTGTTGCTACAGATATGTTTAAAAACTTTGCAATTGATTTCTACCTTGGATTTTCTGTTATGACTAACGATTTAACTTGACTAAAGAAACATTAGAACAGGTATTTGTTTGGAGTCTTCTTTTCATGTAGAAATAATGACAGAAATAATGAAATAATAGAAATTTCATGTAGAAATAATGAAATAATTTCTCTTTCCAGTTAATAATTTTACTTATTTTGCTCTTAGGAATTTCAATAACATGCATTCCAGGACGTTTTAGAATTATGGAATAGAAATATCCACAACTTGATTACATGCAACAATATGAAAGAAGGAACATATTAAAAATGAGAGATCATATTTCCCATTTCAAATAATAATTGGTTTTTATAAATTTTTATTCCAGAACACTTTAAGCCCAAAGGGCATTAGCCCAGAAGAGCTATTAATTTTGTTTTGGCATTTTGTGTCCATTCACCATAACATCAAATCACATTTCAAATTGTTGCCACCAAATATCATCACCCTGTGCTATGTTTGAAGAAAATAACTAATGAAGAATCTGCATAAATGTATATATGTTTCTCGCATTGTGATAAAACAAGGTACCTAGAGCATCAAATTTTGAATAACGTAATTCTTCCACCAAATATGGGCATCTGGAAGCCCGAATTGGGAATTTGTTTTGTTATCGATTTCATATTTTGTAAGACTTAAACAAATTTTTAATTAACAAACTCAACGATTTCAAAACAAGCAATGCCAACACTGTGCAGGTGGGGAATTTGTCTCCAGCGCACGAGACTGTATCTGAAATTCTAAAGATATGTTCATTTTAAAAAATTATTTTGCAATATTGCTGTTGAAGTGAATTTTATGGTTTAAGTGCAAAGTGCAAGTGATATTTAATAAATAAGTGTAACACACAAAGCATTAAAAAAAAAAGCCTCTTTGGGCATAATTTAAAATCTGAAAGCTTTCAAATTTATCTTTTTTTTTTTTTTTAATTCTTTATCAATATTGTTCTAAAAATGTGTTACCATCTTCTGTATTTAGTTTAGTGATTTAGTTAGTGTTTTAGTGATGTGAGATATTTTATGCATTATTTATGAATGTTGTATTTTGTGAAAGTGTTATTATTTATTAATAATTACTCAATGCTCAATTTATGAAAAGTCCTTGGAAGAAATATGAGAGTTTTATTAATAACATTAATTTTTTTATTTGTTTGTACTATGATCTTTTATTTAAAATATTTATTATTGTGGAATATCTTTTTCAGAACTAAATTCAAGTTGTGCTGGGATTCTTATTGCATATAATTTTACTTGCGTATGGGTGTGCGATATTAAAAATACTTATTTAAATAACATATTTATTGATAACTAAATACTTTATTTCAGCATTTTATTTTCAATAAATATTTATAAATAAAACATTTATTAAGAATAAAATATTGAAAAAATATTTTATTGCAATTTGTAAACATGGAAAAAGTAAATTGTCTCTTTCTGAAGGGAAGCTGAACCCCACAAACTATATCATTTGAAAATATTTCAGGTTCCAAGTGATCAGACATTAATGCGTTTCTTACAAGCTCAAGATTATAATTTAGAGAAAGCTCGAGAAATGTTGTGCCATTCTCTTGTTTGGCGCAAGAAATATCAAGTAGATAGAATACTCTCCACATATGACCCTCCTCCTGTCATAAAACAATATTTTCCTGGAGGCTGGCATCACTTTGATCGAGGTTAGTAGAATTACAAAATTATTTAACTTGATTTTGCTTTTGTTATATGTGTGTCAGCACCATGGCAAAATTATGAATTTGTAAAAACCTTTTTGAGAAAAAGTCTGCATAAAGGTTTGGAGCATGTTTAGTTTTTATGGCATTTACACAGTAATTTCTAAAGGTTTATCCAACAGGTACATATTTGCCTTTTGGCCTGATGTGAAACATAAAAAAATAAGCTACAAAATACATGTAAATGAAAATGAGGGGAAAAAGACAGTTTTTTTTTGGGCATGCTGCCATCAGAGTACATCATCATCACTGCCATCAAAATTACCATTAAAAATTCTTAATCAGAATTGCAGAGCTAGAAAATGTGCAGCCAATGCACTTATATATAGAGCTAATGTACGTACATGTCTAAGCACATGGGAAATATGTATGCGTAACACATAAAATGTATATATTTCTCAGTCATTTTATCAAGTTGGACTGCTTATGTAATAGTGTTGTTAGCATTAGCCATTGAGAAGACCACCAAAGGCCAATCTGACAAGTGATAGATGAGTTTGACAGATTGGTTGTGTCACCTAATTTAGGGAAATAAGTTGGCCATACCAAAGAATGCCTAACATGAGGGTAAAAACAGGTGCTGTTGGAAAGTTATTACCAGTGATTCCAGCAGAGCATCCATAACAATAGACCTAGGATGACAACTTTTAAAGAGCAATCATGCAATAATGCAAGCTGAATATGTATACTGACACTTTTGCTATCAGCAAATGATAATTCTTATTGATACCTGATAATGATGAATACAGTAGGCACCACTTAATGCAATAGATGTTAGTGTTATCATTCAGATATTGCTTTAGAATTATCCAAAGTTAGGCCCATTTGTATACGGAAACATGAAAATTTTCTCTTTCCTTCTAGCATGCTTTCGTGGTGTAATGGTTAGCATACTTGGCGCATGTTCAAGAGGTCCAGGTTCGAGTTCTGGCGAAGGCATTATACATTTTTTCACGTCTTCCCATTCAAAATAACCTAATGACTCTACTGTGCATCGCTAATTGTGATCAGCAATTCGGTTAATGTTATGAAAATATGACGGAATAAATTTTTTAAACTGAAATAATGTTGCCAGATAAAAGATAAAATTGCTGAATAAAGTCAAAGTATACTATAGAAATTTTCAAATAACAAAGAGTAAGGAATTAGTTGCCAAGGGTCATGGTTTTGATTTAAGACAACATTTAAGTCTGGGAACTGCGTCTCAGCAAAGATAATAAAGAATTATTGTAAACATTTTAATAAATGATAAAATAAAGGAAGTAAAAATGAAAAAAAAGGAACAAAAAATGTTTAACTAAAAAATGTCATGAATTCTGAGGAATTAAATGCTTGGGTGAGTATTGATGAAAAGAAACATAAGTTCCAGCATTAATGTCAGAAGAAGAAATTCGTCTGCAGCTTTCTGCAACCAATTTCTAGAAATATTATGAATATGAACACTTCATAAATGAACATTTGCATAATGTTTCGAGATAATGAACTATTAATTACTTTTCCTAATTAAAATATAGTGAAAGTAATTATTTGTATACTAGTTTTGATAGTCCATTGATAAGTTTGAAGAATATTTTTCTTATTGCGTAATGTTGTCAAAATAGTCATGCGCAAATGTGATTACATTAAGTGCTACCTTCAGTAGTTATGTATATAAATGTAGGTTCAGCTAAAACTATGTACTAGCATACACCGCCCTCCAAAAGTTAAGAAACATCATGTTTTTTTTGTGTCTAATTTGAGAATGAAGCAACATAGAAACTTAAAATTTAGAGTGCATGTTCACTAAACAGTTCTTTAATGAATACAATATAGAAAGTTCAACACAGACATGAATTACAACAAAAAATTATACTCTTTGCAGAGAAATCTAGTTTTGGAGAAACAGTATATCACAGTTTTTTGAGGAAAAATGGGGTGGTAACATTACAAAAATGGGTTCTAATAAGGAATGTGTCCACCCATAGCTGCAATACATTGGTGGCAGCAATGTTCCATGCTGTCAATTAAGTTGTCGGTCAGTGAAATGGGAAGAAATGACCAGACATGGGATAAACTTGTTCAAGCCTATCTAACAACCTTGCAGGAGGACTTAAAGCAGCAACCTGTCTCCCAAGTTAATCCCAAAGATGCTCTATCGGGTTCAGGTCTGGGGATTAAGCTGGCCATTCTATCTGCTCCATACCATGACCCTCAAGATATTTTTCATCAACGTGAGCTTGGTGTGGTCGAGTGTTATCCTCTATCAGAAGAAATCCAGGACCAATAGCAGCAGTATATGGGCAGACATATTGATCAAGGATCTCATCTTGATGTCTCACACTGGTCAAAGTTCTTCCATGGAACACATGCAGGCCAGTGTGATGACCACCAAGAGAGTTTCCAGCCCAAACTGTTATTCCACCATCTCTGTTACTGTGTCTTTCCACAATGTAGAATTGGTTATATCTGATGCATTTTCCCCTCCAGATCAGCTGATCTCATTCTCCAATGTGAACATGGACTCGTCTGTGAAGAGAAGAGATGCTTATTGTTGACTAGTCCAGGAGACGTGTTCTCTTACCCAACATAAACAGGCACCTCCGTGTCTTTGGGTCAAGGGGACACAAACAACAGGTCGTATCACATTCAAACCTATATTGTGCAGGCATCTACACACTATAGTAGCTGAGATTCTTGTTCTTGTTGTCGCTGAACGATCTACCATGAGCTGAGGCATAGTAATGCTATTCCTTCTTCGGGCTGAAAGAGCTAAATAACATTCTGCCGTAGGAGTTGTAATTCTAGGTCTGCCTGAAACATGTATATCTAGAAACACAATCCTGGGATTCAAACTGATTCCATGAGAGGTGAACCACATTGTGAGAGACACTGAAACATGTAGCAGCATCAGCTTGTGACATCCCATTTCCATCCATCCGATCGCCCGCCACCTCAATGAAATGTGCAAACGACTTCTTGTGGACACTGATAGACTCTCCTGGATATTGTAATGAAATTGAAGATCAACACTTGTGAACAAAACTTAGAAATTTTGCCTTTTTTCTCCAACTCCTATATAAGTAGTCCTTTCTATAAAAATAAAAGTGGTAGCTATTGTTTTTGCCTATATTTTCGTAATCGTCATTGCTGTCATGCATATAAACTGTGAATGCAAATGTTATTGTCATTTTTGTAATGGTAAGCCTTCAAAAACATGCTGTTCCTTAACTTTTGGAGGGCAGCGTATTTAGGCAATTGCATGATATCGTGCTTCATTTAAAAAAAATGTATAGTAGAATGCTATTTATCTGAATTAATTATGACTAAACTATTTTTAAGCAACACTTTTACTTAGTTGCCTCTTGTCAGGATTGTTTTTAAAAAAATAGAAGTGATTTATTTTTATACACATAATTTTCTATGTTATTTCTGAATACATTTTGAATCAAATAAATTTCAGAGTTTCGATTTTAAATTGTTTATGTATTATACGAATTGAATAAATAAAATAATATACATCTGTAATTATAAAAAAAAATGCTGAATTTTTGTAACAATTATCACTTTTGAACTATTAATCATAATGACATTTAGGAACATACAATGTAAATCAATCTTAATGTAATTTAAATGCATAAATATTTATAAAAATACTATTTATATAGAAAACAATTTAAAATTCATGATATACCATTATAATTATTAAATTTGAATTTCAGAAAGCCCCTTTAGGGATATAATTTACATCATTGGTTCTTGTCTGACTTATTTCATCATAGAAGAGCAAAAATTCACTTGGAAAGTAATCCAAGTTTTTTGGGGGGAGGATATAATTGAAGGAATTATTATTATTATTATTTTTAAATAATCTTAAAAAAATCTCTTAGTATGGCACAAATTTTAATTGGCATAATTCATTAATGAACCATACATAGGTTTTAAAGGTCATATCTTAAGCAGGGATTTCAAAGGCCACTAAATTTGCATACAGTGTGCTAATTCCTTGTTTATATTATAAAAATAAGCCCCACCAGTGCTAAATGAATGGACTGCTGAATGTTGCGAGTTCGATCCAGGGTGAATCACCTGGCTAATATTTTCCCAATGTGTATCATGAATACAAGCCAGTTTCCCTTAGGAAGCACTCAATGAAGGCATCCTTCCCTCTAGGGAAACAGCCTTGTGCGTTTTGCCATATTCAAATGACCTAACCTAACCTTTATACGCATTTACTTTTAAATGGAGGTGGGAGACTTGATTTAAAATAACTGGAGACACCTTTTAATGAAGTATATTGATTTAGGGTTAGATTTCTTTGCTATTTTGATTAAGTAGATTTTACATGATGAAATATTGCTGTATTTAAGTAGATTTTTAACTTTTTATACATCAAATATATATGATGTCCTCCTCTTTGTATGGAGACATCCTAAAGTTTTAATAATTCACCTTAGCAGATAAAAAGTTAGATGTATATATTATAGAAATCGGTTACAAAAATTCAGGTTAATATGAAGCTAAAATTTGGAGAATTGCTAGGCTTTTCAATATTTTTTATGTTCAGGGCTGATGACCGACTTGTGCCTTTCTGACTTGGTTCAGATAATGTGTGCTTAAAAATTATTTTGAAGTATTTTAATTCTGTTTTAGCATTTAAAAAAATAATTTAGGATAAATATCGAATTAGTATATTTATTTTTTGCATATTGATTTTAGTAAATGATAATTTTTGTATGTTTGAATAATATTTTTATTTTCTGCATCCATGAAGATGGTAGACCAATGTATATTTTACGGCTGGGACAGATGGATGTGAAAGGCTTTATAAAATCTATTGGTGAGGAGGGGTTAATGAAAGTGGTATGTAAACATTTCTTTTTCTTTGCATAAAAAACTATGTGTGCTGGTAGGTAGAATTTAAGAATTTTAGTTATTGACATTGTATAATTTTTTTAAACTTCTGTATTTGTTTTATAATGAATTATATTTTGCAAAAATGGTATATATAATCAGAATATTTTAGATGAATATTTCTTTGAATTTTTATTTTTCTTCTTCAGTCATTGATTCCTCCCCTCTTCATGTTTTAAACTTCATGTTATCTTTGTCTCTTTTCCCTTTTGATTATTTGTTCATTATGTTTGTTTATGTAATATCAAAATCTTATTCTTTGCTTCAGAATAAGTTCAGCTTAATTTGATATCACTTTACCGCTGATTAAAGAAATTTCATTTAAAATCCTATATTCATTTATAATCCTATATTCATTCATATCAAAGGTAATTTTCTTTTATGCAATGCAGATGTTATTTTGGCACTTTTCCGTTTCACTGGCGCAAATCTTGCCAATATAACAGTATACACGTTAAAAATGTTAGTTGTAAGAATTGTTTATTTTGAAGGCATAAACATTTTAATATCCTTTAAAATTTTGTAGAAAGCCAATAAATAAAGACAAATAAATTTGTAAAAAGACATTAATTTAAGAATTTACTATGCTTTCATGGTTCATCATCCTGATTCGCCGGTTCATATCATGTGACCCCAAGTAATCTCATCTCATCTAAACTACGCTACAAAAATCTAATTCTCTCAGTAATTATCTACATTAATTTCAAGTTAAATCTTAATTTGGAATACAAGTTTAAATGCAAGAATTATTTCAATTCATACGAATAGCTTACTCAGAAATTATGTAAAACTGCAGTGCTTTATTTTGCTAGTGCATTCTCAATTAGAATTGATAAATTTAACCCTTGACCCCTTATTAATATGCCTTTTCTATATTTTTGCATTCGGGTGAGCGGTGTGATTGCATCCCGATTGACTTAATTACCGCAAATGGCCTTAGGGCATAAAATTGAACTATTTTGTAAAAATTCTATGTAATTTTGTGCCAATATTGAAAGAAACAATCAATTTGATAAGAAATGGCTGTGACTTGTTTTGAAAATGAGGCGTTAAAGGTTACCATTGAGGATATTCTGTTTTGCATCAGTTGTATCATTATTGGTGAGTTTATCGCCTGCGTCGGCAAAATGGAAAAGTACCATTATTTTTTTTATAGGTTATTTATGCAAAAGATACAAATGATTTGTATTGTGAGAAAACATCTGGCAATCAAAGGGATAAAAAGGCTGTGAGCACTAAAATTTGGTAGTCAAACATCTCAGTTAATTTTAAAACTAACCTGTCAAGTTGAAACAACTTTGAAAATTTAAAATTTTCTTAACTTTTTGAGGGGAAGGAAAAGGTAATTAACTTTTTCAGCAAAATTCTTGTGTTATTTACTAAAAATGGTGTTGCAATGAAAATATTTTTGATAATTATGCATATTATGTCAAAGACGCCTGAAAAAAATAACCACTTCTGGTGGTTAGTGTCAGTGACCACTGTCCACAGAACACATCCCTACAAATCAGTCTCTATGGTAACCATGGAAACTTTTTATTTTTCAAGCAGAGTGCTTTTACATGTGCTGCTTTCCCACACTGTTCTTACAAGCTGTTTTCATGGTGCTGCAGAGTGCACACCGTCGTGATGTTGTCTTCGATGACTATGCTTATTTTCTTGAAGATGAATTCCTGCATCAACTACTGGCTTACGTTTCTTGATTGCCATCTAGTGAGTTACAAGGGAACTTCAGAAACGGTCAGTCTTGAAAACCACTCACACGAGTGAGTAAGAAGTTCAATAGAAAAGGTGGTTACTGTAGGTAACTACTGCCCTTCAAAGAGTTAAGCCTTAGGGGTGGTATATAAAATAATTTAAATTGTGGTAAAATTTTGCATGAACTATAACTTATGAACCCTAAGGACACAAAATTGAAACTTAAAAAAAATCTAGAGCAAATTTAGAGAGCCAGTATATATTTTATACTGGTGCCCCTCTAAGACATTTTTTTCCAGGTAGCTGCCAATTGTTAATTTTTGGTTTTTAAGTTAATTTTGCATACTTTTGATGTGCGTTTGATGATGCTTGAATTTTGCGTTTGATGATGCTTTAGAGATGGGTGCTTGAATACAGTTATGTAAGTCTGAAGACCAAAACTTTTAAGATTTCAGTAGAAATTAAAAATTTAAAAAATAGAATTTATGTTTTTATGCACTTTGGTGATGCAACCCACCTGAACATACTTATGTAAAATATGGATAAAAAGCTTTTGAACTTCATTTTAATTCAATATTATTATTTTATAAAAGAATTAGCAAATATAACATTGCACATGTAAATCGTATTATGCTGTAACTGAACTAGTGTAATATTACAAGGAAATGTAACTCAGCCGACTACGACTCAGCTGAGAAAGTCTGTTGCATTTTTGAAGTTATATTTTATGCTTTAGATAATATATAAAAAAAAAACCATGCTTCATGCTATGATGCCAAGAATCGCCCCACTTGCACACACACTTACGATTATCGAGAACCGTAAGGTCCCCCCCTTTGTTTGGTAAATATAGGTTGTAATATATATTTCTGTTCAGGAAGAAACGCCGTTAAGCAATTTTATTATTTGATGCACCTCAAAGCTCTTATTTCGATTTTTGACTCCTTTGGCTTCCTAGAGGCTCCTTTTCAACTTTTGAATAAATTTTAGTTTGCATCTAAAACAGGCCTTAGAAATATTTTCCCTCCTTTCACAAACTGTGAAAATTCATTTTGAAAACAACCTATTTGTATCCTAACCCAGGGGGGCAAATTTGTCTTGCGTTCCCTAGTCTTTCATCTGAAATTAACAAAGAATTAATAAGAATTTCCCTAAAGAATAAAAGCATGCTTTCAAATCAGTAGTTTTTGTGATTACACTAAAACAGGGATAGGCAAACTTTTTCAGTTCTGGCCAAAAATTGGGAAAAAAAAAGTTGGGCGGGTTAAGATATATTTTTCTAAAATTTTAAAAACATTATAAAAATATTACAATTTAAATATGTTAATGAGATGAGTGAAATCGCGGTTTCATTTTTAAAAGTTCCTTATATTGAGGTTCTACATGAAAGTTTTCTGCGTTTTCGCGGAATTCCGCTTTTTTTAACGTCACCCGGGCTGTTTCTGAGATGGATGCAGAACTGTTGAGAAAACGCGACCAGAAAATGTGTGTGTGTGTGGGAGGGGATAAACGGAGGACACGCTCTCTCTCTTCCTCTTTTCTTTGTAAAAAAAACTTTACATCGTGCCAGAGATCGCGAAATATGTTGTTTCACATTAACGTGAAGTAGATGGGCCTTATGTGGAAAGGCGGAACTAAATGCGTACGAATATCGAATCAAAGAAGAGCAAGCAATCGTCAAACGAGAGCTGACTTCAATAATTTCAGCGATCGGTGCTGGCGCCATCTGTCAGACATACGGATAACCACTTGCATTCTCCAGTAAAAAAGCCCTATGTAAAAATTTAAGGAATGCTCATAAACTGTACAAAGAAGAGCTAGAGATAAAAAAGGAGGAGCAAGGATCTAAAAAAAAGCAATTAAACATTGCAGAAAATAAAGAGAAAAAAAAGTATCAATGGATTGTATAAAGCTGCTAAAAGAAATTGAGACTAGCTTGTAAACGGAAATTAGAAAAGTTGGCTGCAAAAGTAGCAAAAAAGAAAGCTTTTTCCCTAAAATTTTTAATAGAATCGATGAGACGGAGAAAAAATGTTATTTTTTATATTCCTCCTTAAACTATATGTTTTTGTAACTATATCATTTCACATGACTACTTTTCTGGTGTTATAGAAGTACTATTTATTGAACTAAAAGTGAAGATAATAAATAGTAACAGTTATATATATATAATATATATATATAGATATATATAACTCATGTCCATAAATTAAGGATAATGCAAAATCAGGCAAAGAAAGAGTTAGAAGCAAAAAAAAAAAAAAAAATTGACTTATTTGTAAAGCTTATTTATTAACAAAAGGTAAAGAGCAAAAAGATGCTATATATTTAATATTATTAAAAAAAAAATAGCGTTTTTTTTTCTCCCTGGAGCAAATTACAAAAAAAAAAAAAAAACTTTTCAAAAAAAAACAAAAAAAAAAAAAAAAAAAAAAAAAAAAAAAAAAAAAAAAACAATATTACATGGTTGGTATGATTGTTAATACATTGTATGTCTCCCAGACGATGCAATACAGTCCGTACAATGCCTAGGCATGCTGAGTATCAAATTATCGATCTGATCTTGGGGGATATTACACCACTCAAAAAGCAACGCTCTCCGAAGTTCCGGTAGACATGTAGGAGGAGGTTGACAGGCTACAACTCGTCGGCCAAGCATGTCCCACACGTGCTCTACTGGATTCAAGTCTGGTGAGAATGCTGGCCAGTCCATACGGGTGATATCCTCCGATTGAAGACATTCGCATACGATCTTTGCACGGTGAGGACGGGTGTTGTCATCCATAAACACAAATTGTGCGCCCATGGTGCCCCAAACAAACAACTTACAGACAAACAGTGTTCCAGAATGACGTCCCGATAGATTTGGCTTGTCATGGTTCCAATTTGAACATGCAGGTCAGTTCTAGAACCCAGAATAATTTCACCCCAAACGAGCACTCCTGCACCACCGTAACGGTGTCGTTCAATGATGTTTTTTTGGTGGTAACGGGTACCTGGAGCTCTTCATATGAAAGTCCAGCGAGAATCAGACTGCAAGCTAAACCTGGACTCGTCGGAAAACATCACACGAGTCCACTGTTGCGGTGTCCACAATGCATGCTCTCTACTCCAGGCTAACCACAGGCGACAGTGAGTTGCAGTAAGTGGAACACATCTGACAGGTCTACGAGCATATAGACCAATCTTCCCTAAGCGTCTGTACACGGTCTGCCTTGAAATTGTCGTAGCAGTGGCTGAAGAGAGCTGAC